ATGCCTCACGGTGCTCATGACTCCGGCGGTCATATTAGGGGTCACTGTAACTAATGATAATATTGGTCAGTATACCCCTCCTCACTACTGACAATATGGGTCAGTATATCCCATTTAATTACTGAGATTATTGACCAATGACAGAATCCAGGGCCATGATTGGTTACAGCCACAAGAACCATTGACAAATGTCAAGTTGTACCGTACAGTACGACCCAGGATGTGTGTGTGTGTGTGTGTGTGTGTGTGTGTGTGTGTGTGTGTGTGTGTGTGTGTGTGTGTGTGTGTGTGTGTGTGTACAAGTAACGACAAGGCGTAAGGGACTAATGTACTTAACGCCTGGTACATAAGGCCGAATTAATGATGTTAATGAGATGGTAAATGACCTTTCTCTCTCTTCCCCCTTCTTCCTTTTCAGAGTGTGAGCGGGGCGAGACTGATGATGAGGGGATTGAGAGGGACTCTGGCGATTCCGAGGATGAGTTAGACCACAGTGCCAACTTTACAATGGCGGAGGCTCTCCAGGTAAGGCCAAATTCCCGTTTTCTCTTGATTGATTGATTGATTGATGAAGATTAAGCCACCCAAAAGGTGGCACGGGCATGAATAACCCGTAAGTGGTGACCCTTTTGAGCCATTACCAGTATCAAGAGCTGATACTGGAGATCTGTGGAGGTGCGACTGCTCCCTGCGTGACGGGAGATGTCTCCCGTGGGTATCAAGAGATGATACTGGAGATCTGTGGAGGCGCGACTGCTCCCTGCGTGACGGGAGATGTCTCCCGTGGGTATCAAGAGATGATACTGGAGATCTGTGGAGGCGCGACTGCTCCCTGCGTGACGGGAGATGTCTCCCGTGGGTATCAAGAGATGATACTGGAGATCTGTGGAGGCGCGACTGCACCCTGCGTGACGGGAGATGTCTCCCGTGGTTTTCTCTTGTTACTGTGTTGTCATAATGGTATATAGCGCGTGACAGGAACTAAGATGTTTGTGTTGTGGTCTCCGACAGGTGTGTGAGAGCCGCCTGACCAACGGAGGATTGGAAGGCGGGGTATGTGAGCATTATAGGGCGGTGGTGAGGGCGCTGGTGGCCGAAGCCATCGACCTTGCCTCATTCCTCCAGAATGTCGCCCTCGGGAGCAAGTTCGCTACGCAGTCTGCGGACCTCCTCAGCTCCGAGCACGACCTTCGCGAACTCCAGTGTGAAGACTGGGTCAGTTGCTCTTAATATGTGCCTCTTTATACACTCACTCACTCACTCACTCACTCACTCACTCATTTTTACAACTATTAATTTCTTAATGTATATTTCCCATTCTCTGTAATAAAATAACCAGTAAGTTCTACTACCAGTAAGAACTGGCTCAGGTAAACATAATATATAGAATTATATGGGATCGAACCCCGGTCCTCATAAACAGCAGTGTAGGTGTGTGTGCTCATGAGCCATTAGCCACCACATCAAGAATGGTAGGAGTCACCCATTACCGGGTACACTAGACACCCAGAACAAGGGGTGTCAGTGGTTCAAGAGGCGAACATTAAGACAATGTGTACACGTCCGTACAGCCACTTGCGGCGACGTGAATCAATACATGTCTATCCTACGCTTGAAACACTCAAGTGATCCCCTACCATCATGTCATGAGTAGAGTTATCCTTGGTGTGTAAGTAATTACCCTCCACATGATACACTTCCCTCTCGGATATTTTCAAATGAGAGAGAATAGCCAAGGTCGGTGCCGGCACCAACCCGTTGCAATAACAATTCTCTGGTTTATTGAGACATTTGGCGGTGTATGACCTTCCATGGCCTGGCCTTGACCTGGTCTTGACCTGTCCTTGGCCTGTCCTTGGCGTGGCCTGGCCTTGACCTGTCCTTGGCGTGGCCTGGCCTTGACCTGTCCTTGGCCTGTCCTTGACCTGTCCTTGGCCTGTCCTTGGCCTGGCCCTGGCCTGTCCTTGACCTGTCCTTGGCCTGGCCCTGGCCTGTCCTTGGCGTGGCCTGGCCTTGACCTGGTCTTGACCTGTCCTTGGCCTGTCCTTGGCGTGGCCTGGCCTTGACCTGTCCTTGGCGTGGCCTTGACCAGGCCTTGACCTGTCTTTGGCGTCGCCTTGGTCTGTCCTTGGCCTGTCCTTGGCCTGTCCCTGACCTGTCCTTGGCCTGTCCTTAACCTGTCCTTGGCCTGTCCTTGGCCTGTCCCTGACCTGTCCTTGGCCTGTCCTTGGCCTGTCCCTGACCTGTCCTTGGCCTGTCCCTGACCTGTCCTTGGCCTGTCCCTGACCTGTCCTTGGCCTGTCCCTGACCTGTCCCTGACCTGTCCTTGGCCTGTCCCTGACCTGTCCTTGGCCTGTCCCTGACCTGTCCTTGGCCTGTCCCTGACCTGTCCTTGACCTGTCCTTAACCTGTCCTTAACCTGTCAACCGCCGCCAGTAACCTGACCTGTATTTACTGACAAAGATAAATACCTTGTGCTATTATTTGCTCGTCTTGGTGTACTAATACACTCGTTGTTCTTGGCATTCTAATCCAGTCTACCACATAACATCTAATTCTAATTCATTCTAATGTTCTAGGTGTTCTAATTCACGTATTCTGGGGGCGGCATGATGCCCGCCACAATATTGACCACAGGTCAAGAACTCAGCTGACACCTTTCGTAGACACTGGTTGACATTAAACTAATAATGACCCGGGGCCAGATTCACGAAAGTACTTACGAACATGTACATCTTTTCTCAATCTTTGAAGGCTTTGGTTACATTTATTAAACAGTTTACAAGCATGAAAACTTGCCAATCAACTGTTGTTATTGTTATAAACAGCCCCCCTGGTGCTTCGGAGCTCATTAACTGTTTAATAATTGTAAACAAAGCCGCCAAAGATTGAGAAAAGATGTACAGGTTCGTAAGTGTTTGCGTAAGTGCTTTCGTGAATCTGGCCCCCGGAGTCTGAGACAATATAACAGCGTTCGATACTGTCTCGCCAACCGTTTTAAAGTGAACTTTGATAAGTTTTCTCCATTGTTCCAAACTTTTATAACGACTTTTATTGCAGCTATTGTCTTCGTTAATTAACTAGAAAAGTGTAAACAGAAGTTTTCGTTGCTGTTTGTGAGGCGAAAATAGATCAAGACCATTTTTTTGGCGCCATTTGTTGCGTTATTGTGGCGCGAGATGGCGCCACCAGCCTCACCCGGTGTTATGAGGTGTGGGGTCCACTACCGCCCATAGGATGGGTGTGGGGTCCACTACCGCCCATAGGATGGGTGTGGGGTCCACTACCACCCATAGGATGGGTGTGGGGTCCACTCCCGCCCATAGGATGAGGTGTGGGGTCCACTACCGCCCATAGGATGAGGTGTGGGATCCACTACCGCCCATAGGATGAGGTGTGGGGTCCACTACCGCCCATAGGATGGGTGTGGGGTCCACTACCGCCCATAGGATGGGTGTGGGGTCCACTACCGCCCACAGCATAGGTATGGGGTGCAGACTAAATGAACAAACTGTCATTATATCAGAATAAATTTGAATGTTACATTAATGTCGAGGAATTATGTTTCAGCCTGAATAATTGCACAAGGTTTATTTAAGCGGCTTCTCGAGGTTTAAGGCTTTTTGTTAAAAACTCTAAATAATCCAGTGATGTGCAGATTTCCGCTGATAGGAGCATGTGTGTGACGTCACGTGTATACTGGCATATCATTGGTCTGAATGGCGGCAACGTCGCAAAGGCCTCCGCTGATTGGCTTCCGGGGCTTTGACGTCATGGTTTCCATGGTGACGCGGGAATGCGTGGGAGTCAACTGAGCTGCCGAATTTTTTGAAGCTATTTAAATTAGCGTCGTAGCTCCACGTGTTATAGATTATAATGTCAAGGTTGTTTGATTGATAAAGTTGTTAATGTTGGCGGCGATGGTGATGTTAATTGTGAGAGAGGAGGAGGAGGAGAGCAGGCGAGGGGAGGTGGGGGTTGTAGTGTGTAAAGGCCGGCGGCCATTGATTCTCTGAAGAGTTAGTTATCCTTATCCCGCCCTGGCTCCCCCCAGTAATTTCTTATGTAATTTAAGTATATATGTGATCATTTTGATTCATGTGTTTTATCTGACTTTGAATGAAAAGACGCAAATTTGCAAATTTGAAATAGGTCAATTTCAAAATCTGACTTTCCTAATCACAAGGAAATAATTAACATTTTTCTACGCTTTTTTGTTGGCCAAATTTAACTTCAAGCTTTTACTTGAAAGATTTATCGCACTTTGGTCAATATCGTATTTTTGTTTTGGCTTTGCCAATTAACTTTGACTTGTCGGTATACCGTCGACTTTTCAACCCGTCCTCACACTAGGCTGGTTAAAGCAGCGGCCGTCCTCCCTAGACGCATTCATCAATTTTAACATACTGTGTATTAAAAAATGGTTTCTCATTTATATAAATTAATATTATACATAAAAATTCTATATATAATTAGGCGTAGGTTAGGTGTTTAGATTCTGTTGTCGATGTTGTGTATTTGAATTATGTGGGTGAATCATTTATAGAATTGTAGTTCGAACACAGGACGTGAGAGAAACACTTGTTCCGGAAGTGTTCGGACGTCATCAGTTGTGAGTTGTGCGTAAACCGCTTTTCATTCATAAACAGGGGGTTTGGCGGCTGGATTAACGAGCTTGGATCTTTGTATGCGAGAACGGGCTGGCTTCTTACAGGGTCGGCTTCACGAGAAACGAAAGGCTGCTCGAAGCCCTGTTGTAGGCTTCAGGAGACGGAAAATGGTGCTCGAAGCCCCCTATAGTAGAATAGGTTTGAATATATATATTATATTATCTATATGACTTGTCATTCAGGTTGTATCACACCATGAATTATTCCATATTATTTCATTGATAGAAACCTTAGATAAATTATGTTCAAGTATGTTTATTGAGACAAGAAAAAATACCTCTCAAAGGGATAGAGTAGCTTAGGCTATTTCTACCCCTCCCCCCCTTCCCTGATAAAGTTTGTTTAATGCTGTATGTGTGTTTTAGCAGCGCGGCCCGGCACTGCCACCCTCCTGGCACCGCCACCCTCCTGGCACCGCCACCCTCCTGGCACCGCCACCCTCCTGGCACCGCCACCCTCCTGGCACCGCCACCCTCCTGGCACCGCCACCCTCCTGGCACCGCCACCCTCCTGGCACTGCCACCCTCCTGGCACCGCCACCCTCCTGGCACCGCCACCCTCCTGGCACCGCCACCCTCCTGGCACCGCCACCCTCCTGGCACCGCCACCCTCCAGGCACTGCCACCCTCCTGGCACCGCCACCCTCCTGGCACTGCCACCCTCCTGGCACTGCATGTTGCTGACTGTGGAGAACAGTCTCTCTCTCTCAACAGTGAGCCTATACTTACTCATATGTTTGGTGAGCCAGCAGTTATTCATTTGTAGGGTGAACTCTTCCATATGATGTATTTGTTACGTAGTAACATTAATGAGGCTACCTGCTTTGTATTGTAGCTCATCTACAGCCTTTGGTGTAGCTTGATGCAAGCATTGATAAGTCAAGCCAGCCTCCAGAAATGCTAATACCTGTAGCTACTGTAAATGGAACTACACAATGTCATAATATATTTTACAAAGTCACATCGTACACACGACCGCCAACGATTTCAAAACCCTACCAACCGAGCCTAACACAGCCTAAGCTGACACTACGTAATGAGATTATATATATATATATATATATATATATATATATATATATATATATATATATATATATATATATATATATATAAATCCGCATAAAATGATCAGTGTTTTGTGATCGTGAATTGCATATATATATATATATATATATATATATATATATATATATATATATATATATATATATATATATAAGGTAGGCTAAGGTAGTTATTTGTTGAGTGTGAAGCACGCTAGTTGCTTGTGGGTGGCTAGGGCGGTAGTCACGGCCTGCGGGGGCGGATTAACGACTCTTTCAACACAGTTCCTTTGTGTGCGGAGATGCTTAGTGGTGGTGGTGATGCAGGCTTAATGGGGGGGGGGATTCCTGTACATGGTGGGTCCTCCTTCCCCCTCACTGTGGGTCCTCCCTCTACTTTAAATCCCCATCCTCTACTGTAGAATAAGAGCCCTCAGTATATCCACAATCCCCACCTTAAATCCTCAGTCTCCACTGTAGATCCTCTGCCCCCACCATAAATCCCCACTGTACAAATCCCCTGTCCTTGCCTTATAAATCTCAACCACCACCATAAAGATCTCAATTCCCCACCATATAAATCGACATTCTCCACTATATAAATCCACAGTCCCCACCATATAAATCCCCCAGCCCCAATATTGTGCGTTAGTGCGGATTGTGTGTGTGAACCCGTATACAGAATGATAGACTCTCTTTTGCGAAATTTTAAAGTAAACTGAATTTTGTGATAAAAAGATCCACACTGCAAGGTTGCAGAGAGGGAAGCAAGAACAGGAGCCAGGGGCTGCGAGAATACATTAACTTAATTACCTACATCCTTAATTCCCTGCTCTAATTACTTCCCGAAGCCATTATCACACCGACAACTTTTTGAACCAGATGGCGTCATCGGGGACTAGGATTCGTGGAACATTTACGCGTCCAGTTAAGGAACGGGGACCAGATTCACGAAGCAGTTACGCAAACACTTACGAACCTGTACATCTTTTGTCAATCTTTGGCGGCTTTGTTTCCAATTATTAAACAGTTAATAAGCTCCGAAGCACCAGGAGGCTGTTTATAACACTAACAACAGTTGAATGGGAAGTTTTCATGCTTGTAAACGGATTAATAAATGTAACCAAAGCCGTCAAAGATTGAGGAAAGGTGTACACGTTCGTAAGTGCTTGCGTAAGTGCTTTCGTGAATCTAGCCCCCTGTCTTGAGTCAGTCATGGCGGCGTTGTTGACACTTATTGAACAGTTTATGGGCCCCGAAGCGCTGCGAGGTTATTAATGACAATAATAACCTTGGGTTGTGAGGTATCCAAGCTCGTAAACTGATTTAATAAATGAAACAAAGCCACCATTAAGGAAAGATGTACTGGTTTCGTAAGTGGTTAGGTAAATGCTGAATGAATTCTGGTCCTTAAGAAGCGTCTCCTGTAATATTATTATCGAGATTATTATGGAAACACACCATTATATAAAACATGTTTTCAAGTAGGTATTTTATTATTTAAGATTTCTGAAAGTTGTTGCCCCTGTGCAATGGGTGTTCAGCCATATAATGGGTCTTCCTCCGTACAGTGGGTAACCACCATAGAGCCTTCTCGCTCTGACCATGTGCAGTAATTGCTTAACCTTTGACCAGGAGTCAGTAGTTAACTCGTTAAGGGTAGGGCTTTCCTTCCTCTTGACCCCTGACCTTCTGTTTCTATCTTGACCCCCATTAAGGTCCCCCCCCCTCCACTTCCTGCTCCTTGTTTCCTCAGCCAGAAGTATACAGTGAAGGACGAGCTTTGAGTCATCATCATCATCCACTCTCTGGTTGTCGAGGTGTATGGCCACCATTCCTTCACTCCGACCTGATACCCCCTGCCATGTTCTATGTTGACATGCTGGTTTTCCTCTTTCTCCTGATTATTACCCTATCTTGCCCACATTATATCCCCCCCCCACCCACCCATCTCTCTGACCCCATTAAATCCCCACCCACCCCCTAACCCCAATGACTTTAAATATAAATAATAATCCTCTTTATGAATTAAAAATGTATTTAGCCATGATGTCACTGTGTGTGTGTGTGTGTGTGTGTGTGTGTGTGTGTGTGTGTGTGTGTGTGTGTGTGTGTGTGTGTGTGTGTGTGTGTGTCCCTGTAAATGTTCTTGTTAGTTTATTGAATATTTTAGTTATTTTCACATTGTTGTGTAGGTCAATTTTATGCATTCTGTATTTCTATATAGTATGTTAAATGTGTTTAGAATGTATTTGTGTTATTTGCTATAATGCATATTATGTTTATACCAATATCGTTCTCACTTACACCTGGTGAAAATGTTATGAATTCTTTTTCCGACCTTGGATGCTATTGGGTCCATTTAGATCTTTATGAAATGTATGTGTGTCTTCACCTAGTTGTGTATGTGTGTGTGTTCAACTAGTTGTGTGTGTGTGTCTGTGTGTTCAACTAGTTGTGTGTGTGTGTGTCTGTGTGTTCAACTAGTTGTGTATGTGTTCAACTAGTTGTGTGTGTGTGTGTGTGTTCAACTAGTTGTGTGTGTGTGTCTGTGTGTTCAACTAGTTGTGTGTGTGTGTCTGTGTGTTCAACTAGTTGTGTATGTGTTCAACTAGTTGTGTGTGTGTGTGTGTGTTCAACTAGTTGTGTGTGTGTGTCTGTGTGTTCAACTAGTTGTGTGTGTGTTCAACTAGTTGTGTGTGTGTGTCTGTGTGTTCAACTAGTTGTGTGTGTGTGTGTGTTCAACTAGTTGTGTGTGTGTGTGTCTGTGTGTTCAACTAGTTGTGTGTGTGTGTGTTCAACTAGTTGTGTGTGTGTGTGTGTTCAACTAGTTGTGTGTGTGTGTGTGTGTTCAACTAGTTGTGTGTGTGTGTGTGTTCAATTAGTTGTGTGTGTGTGTGTGTTCAACTAGTTGTGTGTGTGTGTGTGTGTTCAACTAGTTGTGTGTGTGTGTCTGTGTGTTCAACTAGTTGTGTGTGTGTGTCTGTGTGTTCAACTAGTTGTGTGTGTGTGTGTGTTCAACTAGTTGTGTGTGTGTGTGTGTGTTCAACTAGTTGTGTGTGTGTGTGTGTTCAACTAGTTGTGTATGTGTGTGTGTTCAACTAGTTGTGTGTGTGTGTGTGTGTTCAACTAGTTGTGTGTGTGTGTCTGTGTGTTCAACTAGTTGTGTGTGTGTGTCTGTGTGTTCAACTAGTTGTGTGTGTGTCTGTGTGTTCAACTAGTTGTGTGTGTGTGTGTGTTCAACTAGTTGTGTGTGTGTGTGTCTGTGTGTTCAACTAGTTGTGTGTGTGTGTGTTCAACTAGTTGTGTGTGTGTGTGTGTTCAACTAGTTGTGTGTGTGTGTGTGTTCAACTAGTTGTGTGTGTGTGTGTGTTCAACTAGTTGTGTGTGTGTGTGTGTTCAACTAGTTGTGTGTGTGTGTGTGTGTGTTCAACTAGTTGTGTGTGTGTGTCTGTGTGTTCAACTAGTTGTGTGTGTGTGTGTGTTCAACTAGTTGTGTGTGTGTGTGTGTGTTCAACTAGTTGTGTGTGTGTGTGTGTGTTCAACTAGTTGTGTGTGTGTGTGTGTGTTCAACTAGTTGTGTGTGTGTCTGTGTGTTCAACTAGTTGTGTGTGTGTGTGTGTTCAACTAGTTGTGTGTGTGTGTCTGTGTGTTCAACTAGTTGTGTGTGTGTCTGTGTGTTCAACTAGTTGTGTGTGTGTGTGTGTTCAACTAGTTGTGTGTGTGTGTGTCTGTGTGTTCAACTAGTTGTGTGTGTGTGTCTGTGTGTTCAACTAGTTGTGTGTGTGTTCAACTAGTTGTGTGTGTGTGTCTGTGTGTTCAACTAGTTGTGTGTGTGTGTGTGTTCAACTAGTTGTGTATGTGTGTGTGTTCAACTAGTTGTGTGTGTGTCTGTGTGTTCACCTAGTTGTGTGTGTGTGTGTGTATTCACCTAGTTGTGTGTGTGTGTGTGTGTTCACCTAGTTGTGTATGTGTGTGTGTTCAACTAGTTGTGTGTGTGTGTGTGTTCAACTAGTTGTGTGTGTGTGTGTGTTCACCTAGTTGTGTATGTGTGTGTGTTCAACTAGTTGTGTGTGTGTGTGTTCAACTAGTTGTGTGTGTGTGTGTGTTCACCTAGTTGTGTGTATGTGTGGCTTAACTATTATTATGGTGGCTGTGTGTGTGTACCTGAGGACTGGTGTTGTGCAGTAGAAGTTGACCAACTGTGGGCTCCACACATTGTAAGTTCAGGAAAGTATGCCAGGATATGTTACACCAGGTCTGAACAAATGGGTGTTACTGAGTGTGAAGTCTTGACATTGGAAATGGCTTCATGCCTCTCATATGGACCATAACATCACCAGCAGAGATGTCAAAATGTTTTATCAGTTATTGTTTATACCCCTGTGAGTGTTGTGGAAGATTGTGTTATTACCTAAGTTATTACCTAAGTGTAGTTACAGGATGAGAGCTACGCTCGTGGTGTCCCGTCTTCCCAGGGCTCTTTGTCATATAACGCTTTGAAACTACTGACGGTCTTGGCCTCCACCACCACCTCACCTAACTTGTTCCAACCCTCTACCACTCTGTTTGCGAAAGTGAATTTTCTTATATTTCTTGTGTGGTTGTGGCTGCCTGTACACGAGTGTTAATAATCAGTGCCCGTTTCCAGGCACGTCTTTGGATGCAGGTGATGCGGGAACTGAGGAATGGTGTTAAGTTGAAGAAACCCGACTACTCCCGAGGACCCATCGAGTACGCCCTCACACCCTACGAAATGCTCATGGATGACATTAGATCACGGAGGTAAACATTTGTCTCCAGCTGGCCCCTTGCCCTTCCCCTCTCCCCCCAGGTGGCACCTGGCTCAGCTGGCTCCTGCCCCAGTTGGCACCTGTTCCACCTGGCTCCACTTTGTCATCTAAGATCAATATAGCTTCTTGCATAACAATAGTCCATGTTTTGTACTACTTTAGTATACTAAACTGCATAACAAAAACGTCAGTGATATGATCAATAGTCTAGCTACTATCCTTGACCTAAATAAGCAATCCTAGACCTAATATTCACACTCTTAGATGTAATTTAATAGGTACTGTATATGTACTATACTTGACCTTGAAATTTGAAATTAATGGTTGGATGAGAGATAGTTGTGCGAGACTTGCCACACTCGGCTGCATTAGTTTACTAATTATTGTTATCTATGCTTTTAAAGCTGTCGATACAATGCTATCTTTGTCATACTAGCATAACATAAAGCTGTTGATACAGTACTATCATTGTCATACTAGGATAACATAAAGCTGCAGGAACACTGCTATAATTATCATACTAGAATAACATAAAGCTGCAGGAACACTGCTATAATTATCATACTAGAATAACATAAAGCTGCAGAAACACTGCTATAATTGTCATACTAGAATAACATAAAGCTGTAGGAACAATTCTATCAGTCATATTAGTATAATGAAAAAGCTGCTGATACAATTAAACCAATTAGTCCCTGTAATTCTCATTTTTAAAAGAAGGTTTGTTCAGATTTATCCTCATTGAAGTCAGTGATTGGTTTTATGGACCATGCTGACATTGGTAGCTTAGCCTTGTATAACCTATTGAAAATGGTACGGTGGAAATTATGTCTGTTTACCGTATTTAGTGCGTACATCTGGTTTTGTACGTGCGTCTTTCACTGAAACAGGAGTAAGGCTTAAATTTTAACAAATAAAAGATTCTGATTATTCATATACAGTTCTGTACAGTGTATCCCAATGTTTTATCATACTGGATTTTTATTAATTATTGCATTCATTTATTTCCAAAAATTCTAGATTTATTTTAGGCTGTATCATTGCCAGATGATACAGTAGATGCCATTTACTTGTACTGTAAACATAAACATTGTACTTAAACATTGTTTTATTTTGTATAGTGCAAGCCAGACTTGTGTGTAATGTGCACCTTCCTTCAACAGATACACACTCAATAAAGTCATGGTAGATGGAGACATCCCTCAGCGTGTCAAAAAAGATGCTCACACAATTATACTTGACTTTATCCGGTCACGCCCACCTCTCAGAAAGGTGAGTTCTGGCAAATAAATCTTCATGCTATAATTTAAGATATTAGAGTGTGCATCTGCATAATTATATATTGAATTAGTTTTGAGGTTTGAACTTAAAACAAAAATACTTGTTTTTGCCTTGTCCTGTTTAGCAAAAGTTAGCAGCTGTAAAGTGCATACAGTATATTAATAGACATCATTAGATAGGTTCCTGCAAATATTCCTGATATTGTTGCAATCTTTAGTACTTTATAAGTGGTGCCTTAGATGGAATGTTTGGGGATGACTCGACATACATTTTCTCCCCATTGTCTGGGATAGAAAGCATACACTTAGGCTTGGGAACCCCTTAGGCTAGTTACTGACCCTCCCCAGGATGCCACCCACAACAGTTGTCTAACTCCCAGGTAACTGCTGCTGATGGAGGCACTTAGGGAAAGGTAATGTTCCGAACTTTCTCTGTTCTGTTCGGGAGTTAAACCTGGAACCCTTAGTTGTGAGGTGAAAGAGCAAAGTTAAAAGATAACAGTAGGCCGTGTAACATGTGGGGGTGGGAAAAGGAAGTAGGTGGCTTACCAAGGATGCCTTCATTCTTTCATTTATATTTTATACAGTCATGTGGTCCTGGCTTTGATAGCTTTACTGGGTTGGCTGTTTTATATGTTTGTTATTCTGAGAGAAAGAGGATCTCCTATTGTCTGTTTAACATTGTGGCTTGGAAAGCTTGGAATTGTTGCCTCTTTTGAGTGTCATTTACCAGAATTTACCTGGAGGCCACCATCTCTAGTGGTCTTGAAGGAATCAGGAAGCTGTTAGCTTGTCAAAGGTCCCTCCATTATTCCTGAGGATATTTTAGCTGAATTTTAAACTGACAGTCACAGCTTTAACAGGTAGGCAGTTCTGTGGGAGTATTACCCTTTGGGGGGAAAGCATCCCCCTATCTTCTGCACTTTTTTAGTAGGAGTCTGAATTTATTATACAGTTCATTCAATATTTTAAATATCTTAATTAGATCAGGCATGTCATAGCCTTGTTTCAAGAGTAGTGAAGCCTCTACCTCTCAACTTTTTCTTTTAAGCAATTTGAATTAGTCCTGAGATGATTGTCATTACCTCTGTGAGGATTTTTTTCCTATGTAAAACTGCAATATATTTGTTAATGTTAAGTCTCCATGCTTGAATACAGTAATTAAGATAAGGATTGAATTAAATATGTGCTTGATTATTCTTGCAGTTTGATTAGCTCATTTTACCACTATTGCAACTTGCTGGGCTGTTGTAATAATTGCTGGACAATCACTTTGAAGGTATTTTTTTTTTAAATCTTTAGCAAAACTGTGTTGTCAGTTTCATAACTGTGTTGGATAATGTTATGTCCACATAAGGGATCCTTCATTTTTCAGTAATATCATATGCTAGTCCTTTGACTGTTTGTGACATTGATATTGGTCACTGTAGATTGTAAACAAAGCTCTGTGAACGGTACTGCTTTACTTAGTTGATGTTGGTCACTGTAGATTGTAAACAAAGCTCTGTGAATGGTACTGCTTCACTTAGTTTTTATCCATTTAGCTTCCTTGTGCTTTTCTTCACCTTGTGCCAGAATTCCTACCTCTCTTTTATGACTTTGAAGTATGGTGTAGTGGATACAGCGTGCAACTGCCACCTTGTTGGCCAGTGTTCGAGTCCCCTGGTGGGTTGAGTGTCTAAAAAGTTATAAAGATAACCCAACCATTCATCTAGTTAACTGACGAATACAACATCACTTTTATATCATTTAATTTATTATAGAAAGGGAAGAATGCACAGTCTTTAAATGTACAAACTTAATTATTCTTTGGTGATACCTTTGGCCAGTATAAAGGAATTTGTTCATGCAAACCATAATTGTTAAAAGAAATTACAGAATTATAAAGATCTAAGTTGTTGTTTTTAGATTCAGCTACTTGGAACAAAAAGTTCCAAGTAGCACAGGCTATGGTGAGCCCTTTGTGGACTTACCTGGTACAGGACTGGGGCTGTGACATGAAGGATTCCAAGTTGACTTGATGCACATAGACCTTTCCAAGCCATTTGACAGATTATCATATGAAAGATTAGACTGGAGCTAACGAGCACATTGAATAACCAGGACAGGTCATTGCTGCTGTTTAAAATCTAGCTGGAAAGTATTCATCAGAAAAAAATGAGGTGGGGGGGGGGGGGGAATTTGACCAGCCACCAGCTTCCTGTCCCCATCGAGACTATTGCAGAGTTGGTGGTCCTCAGATATAATATAGGGGGATGAATTAAACAGTGACAAAATCACATTGAAACAGATTCATCTTAAGTGAAATAGATTGTGAATGTTGAAGCATTGCAAGTGGTATTGCACAAGGATCCATTGGTGTTGGTACAGTGGTCAGCAGAGTTGGGGGTCACAGTTGAAAGGTCCCAAGTTTGATTCCCACAACATGACAGAAATGTTTGGTCATGTTGTTTTTCACTGGATGCCTTCCTACACCTGGCAGTAAATAGGTACCTCTGGAGTTAGGCAACGCTTGTGGGTGGCATCCTGAGGAGGGTCAGTAGTTGGCCTGGGAAACCTCGTTAACCCTAATACACTTCCCGTCTTTGATAATAGGAAACCATACTAGTGGCTTTATTAAATATACATACTCTGTAACTATCAACCACTTTATCATGTTTTTATGTATATTTTAAATAAAAATTATTATTATTGATGTGATTTTTTATAATAATAATAATAATAATATTACAAAAGTTGTTGATTACATAAACTGATACATATAGACTTAAACCAATAATCAATACATATATACTTTAGGCTTGTATCAAGGTCCTTCAATTCGAACTATAGTACTGACCTTCCCAAGGATGTAACCCCAAAACTGTTGCTAAACTCCAGGGAACCTATTTACTGCTAGGTGAACAGATATATTATGTGAAATGAAACATGCACAATCACTTTTGCCCTGCCCGGGAATTGAACTGGGGATCCCCGACTGTGAATTGAGAATGAAGTCAAGTATACTACGAGACCCTTACATTAAATATAAACAAATGAAGGAACAGCAATCTTGGCGAATGACGCTAAAATAGTTGGGAAAATAAGCTCAGGCTGATATAAAATTGCTACAGAATGACCCAGATTTTTAAAATTAGAGAAGGATTGGCAGTTTCAGTTAAATTCCGAATAATGGAGAGTTCTGAGCGTAGGAAATGTCAACGGTCTCCAGATAACTAATTAACAAAATTGAAATTTCCAAATCTAAGATGGAGGAAGTTATTGGGTTACCTGGAGCATACCTGGAGAGGGTTTCTGGAGGGGGTTTCTGGAGGGGGTTCCTGGAGGAGTTTACTCCCTGAGCCTGGCCTGGGGGGCCAGGCTCAACCTGTGATAACTTGTGATAAGTTGGTCCAACAGGCACTTGCCTAGAGAGGCCCCGCTGAACCTAAAACAAAAAATCATTGTATAAATATGTGAAATAAGATGAATAAGATATGGGATTCATAGCTAGCAGCATTAGTAATAAAACAATGCATTATTGTGCCCTTGATATGCCACATTTAGATTTTGCTGTTGAACTGGGGGAACTTTATGATTGAATAGAAATAAATTTCACTGCAAGTGTACAAAGAAGGATGACAAAATTTATTCCAGGTATAAGAGACTTCTCTTACAAAGAGATATTATTATACATTTACCTTACAGTGTTTAGAAATGAAAAAAAGTAAGGGGAGACAGATAGATGAAATGCTATAACAAGGTAGATTATTAAAGGGGTTCTAAATATAGTCATGTAAAGTAGAACACAAATAATTCAGAAACAAATAGGTCAGTTGATTTGGAAGTAGGGTTATTGAATTATGGAACAGGTTGCCAATTAACATAATAAACATGGGGTTGTTTGATTATTTCCAGCGTAGGTTAGACAATTATATGAATGGATATGATTGTGTATAACTAGGATTTTCCTCACATTGAATAATGTCTTCTCCTGTCTCCTCTATTCTCATGTTCTTTGTAGATCTTATATTTTTTAGAATCGCTAATGTTTTTCCATTTTTCTGTACTTTTCCCTCAATTGCATCTTTAACTGATTCTTTCCTCTTTCTCAAAGTCTGCGAGTTTATGGCAAATACTTCGTATTTATGACACCCAAATCGGCATGGAAAACTCTTATGACAAGTGATTCGGATGCACCTTCAGCAGCCAATTAACACCTTCGGGAAATTAAAATATCTGTAATTGTATATGTATACATATTTAAGTGTAGTTACAGAATGAAAGCTATGCTTGTGGTGTCCTGTCTTCCCAGCACTCTTTGTCACATAAAACTTTGAAACTACAGTACTGACAGTTTTGGCCTCCTCAACCTCACTTTACTTGTTCCAACTGTTTACCAATCTATTTGAGAAAGTGAATATTTTTTTAGCTTTCTATGTCAGCTTTGTTTCATTACCTTAAACCTATGGCCTCTTGTTCTTGGAGTTCCAGGTTTCAAGAATTCTTTCATGTCAAATTTTGTCAATTCCCATTACTGTTTTGTACATAGTGATCATATTGCCTCTTTTTCTTCTATCTTCTTGCTTTAGCATATTTAATGCCTCTAATCTCTCCTTATAGCTCTTGTCTTTCAGTTTTTGGAGCCATTTAATGGCATGTCTTTGCACCTTTTTCCAGTTTTGTTGATGTGTTGCTAAGATATTGGAACATTTCAACTGCTGCTTATTCCAGCTTTGCTTTCCCAAAGACTGTGAACAATTTCTTTAGTATTTCACCATCCATGTATTTAAAAGCAATTCCGAAATCAGAAAGAGTAGCATAGGCTCCTTGCACAACGTTCTTTATGTGGTCCTCAGGTGGCAGTTTTCCATCTAGAACCACCCTTGGATCTCTTTCGTTATCAGAATTTTTAAAGCTTTTTAACTTAATTTGTAAGTTGTGTGTGGTCTATTTTCTCATATTCCACATTCCTTAACATGGCATTTATTCAAATTAAATTCCATTTACCAAGTGGTGCTCCATACATATATTTTGTCCAGGTCCTGTTCGAGTGCATTATAATTATCTAAGTTTCTTATCTTTACTAATATCTTAACATCATCACAAACATGTTAATATAATTCTGTATTTCTTCTGGTAGATCATTTATGTAGACAATGAACATTACCAGTGCAAGAACTGAACCCTGTGGTACTCCACTCGTGACATTTCTCCATTCCGACACATTGCCTCTGATTACTGCCCTCATTTTTCTGTTGGTTAGAAAAAATATCAGTTATGTTAGAAGTCTCCCGTCACTCCTTCAGTATGTTCCAGTTTCCAGAGCAACTTCTTATGTGGGACAGTTTTTTTTTTTTTTTTGAGATATACAATATATCCTGGGGTTGCACCTTAAATTCTTGTACAGCCACTAGTATGCATAGCATTTCGGGCAAGTCCTTAATCCTATGGTCCCTGGAATACGACCCCTACGAAGAATCGTTTTTTACAATCAAGTACCGATTCTACTGTTGAGTTAAACAGAGGCTACAGTTAAGGATTTGTGCCCAGTAAATCCTCCCCGGCCAGGATATGAACCCATGACAAAGCGCTCGCGGAACACCAGGCGAGCGTCTTACCACTACACCACGGAGACTGGTGTAGGTCCTGGTAGAGACTGGTGTATATGTAGGTCCACATACATGCAATCGTCCGAACCATCTCTTGTAAAATCTCTTAACGAATCTACTTGGCTCTATCACAGAATCTTAATAGACACATTACACAGGATCCTCCATATCGAAAACCCTACTGTCTGTCTCTGTCTTATTATATAATTTTTCTCCAAGTGTTCTACCTACTTGGATTAAATGTATGTACAGTACCAGTACTCTTATGTAAATGTAATATTATTTTTATTATTTCAACATCTCTTAGAAATGGTGCTAGTTTATATTTTCTGTTAAATAGGCATGTTTCGTTTTGGTTACAGGCATCAGAGCGCAAACTCCTACCCCCACCACGTAAGATCTCGTCACCAATGGAACTGCTAATGGAGAGTATAAGAAAAGACCACACCTTGAAGCACGTCAACACTCCCACACGAGCACGGCCCATGTCCAGTAAGTACTGCAGTAGATTTTGTCTTTGGTTCTTGTACTCACATACACCATATTATCTAACTACAGTCATTAATATATTGTTCAGTCATAAGACATCATTGATTGTGCTTTGATAAGGCTTTAATGCTGTAAGAAACATTAATATTTATACAGCACAATAATAGCAAGTGAATGGAGTACAAGTTAAATGTATATTTATATGATGAATCTTGTTTGGTATTTTCAATGTATTCAGTTGGTTCATCACTTCAGAGAGAGACAAGTAATATGGAGATAGTTCTCTGAGCATCTTGTTTAAATTTTACACAAGTCGTGTAGTGCAGTGGTCTTCGTTCTATCCCTAGGCAGGATACACATTTTTGGGTACGTTTCTTTTGCCTGATGCTCTTGTTCACCTAATAGTTGCCCAAGAGTTAGGCAACTGTTCTGGATTGAATCCTGTGAGAGGTGATCAGTAGTTGACCTAGGGGGGAACTGAATAAGCTGGACAGCTTTCCTGCCTCTGACTGGAAAACCATACGGTGAACCATATTATAGAAGCACCTAACTTTTGCAAGATGTGTTATGTACCCAACAATGATCGTGTGCATTCCTACAATTTTTCCAATACTGTAATGATATACAATAAAATAGTTTATTTATTTGTAAAAAAGGTACGTTATGTTTGTCAGTTTTTTAGTACATGTGTACAATATTTACCACATGGCCACCATCCGTTTAGTGTCCTCAACAGGTGCAGGAAGGTGGTGGCTTGTCAAAAGTCCCCCCATTTTTCGTGAGTGTAGTGCAAAGGTACTATGTAATTCAATATGTTAGGTACATCCTTGTAAACCACTGATACACATAGTGCAGTGTTTTATTCTGAAAGTAGGATGTATAATTTAAATACAGTAACAACATTGTTAGCTGCATTTTCCAGATGTGTGCATTATTTTAGATGTATATCTGCATGGTTGTAACACTTTCATGAAATCTTATGTATTGTGTTTGAATGTGAAGGGTCCTGGTCAGGACAGAAATAATCAGGCACATTTTTTTTTCACCTAGTACCTCTGTTCACCCAGCAGTAAGTAGGTACCTGGGAATTAGTCAGCTATGGTGGGGTTGCATCCTCCCCAGGATGGGGAGGATGCACCCTCCCCATGATGCAACAGTCAGTGGATATCAGTGTATATGTGTGTGTGTATATATATATATATACCGATTATATATTATAATAACTATAAAGGCTGCCTGTCATTGACAACAAATTCTTATTAACTTATTAATGTACACAGTCCAAGACACTGCAGTACAGTAGTTGTGTCAGTTCATTATCTGGATTTATATTTGTGGGGAGATAGAAGCACTAACTTCCAAAATGTTGGCTTTCTGAAGTGGAAGAAAATCACTTCGGCCTTATAGAATGTTCTCATGCGGAGGGAATGAGGCAGAAGTACCCATCAGGTTGTTTATTTGCTGAGAAAGTGAAGGAAAAAATACTCTTGTTACATTTCTCCCGTCATCTTTCCTCGTGCCAAGTCTCCTCCTGCCACCTCATCTCCCGCTCTCTCTCCTTCAATCACATCTCCTGACACCTTTCCTCTTGCCACCTCTAAACATCTTCATCCTTGGCATTTCTGGGACCTGTTGACCCTTCACCATCTCCCAGGAGAGCGTCTGACTTGCTGTGGTTGATGGTGGAGCTGGGCGTATCCGAGTGTGTATGTACATACCTACCTGAGCTACATGTACCAGCTTTTGTCTTGTGCTTAGCGAGGTATAGACTCCATGCTGGAGCCATATACTGGAAGATTGGTCTTACATATGTGGTATACACGGTTCTAAATGATTACTTACACAAGTTTCTAAAGACAATTCTGATGTTAGCCAGCCTTGCATGCACCACTGTTGATATTCTTTTGATGTAGGCTTCAGGAGACAGGTTTGTTGTGATATCAACTCCTAGATCTTTTTTTCTGCCCATTTCATGGAGGACTTTGTCTCCCATTTGGGATCCTGTGTCTGGAGTGAGCGAGTGAGTGAATGAGTGAGTGTGAGTGTGACTGTGAGTGTGTGTGTGTGTGTGTAATTACCTAAATTACAGGTTGAGAGTTATGCTCATGGTGTCTCGTCTTCCCAGCACTGTCATATAACGCTTTGAAGCTACTGATGGTTTTGGCCTCCACCATCTTCTCACTTAACTTGTTACAACTGTCTAGCACTCTGTTTGCCAAAGAAACCAGCAACTTGAAGTTGCTGGTTTCAGAAATTCCTCTTTGTCAGTTTGGTCGATTCCTGTTAGTATTTTGTAAATGTGATCATATCACCTCCTCTTCTTCTATCTTCTAGTTTTGGCATATTTAACGCCTCTAGACTCTCCTTGTAACTCATTGTTTTTCAGTTCCAGAAGCCATTTTGTTACATGCCTTTGCACCTTTTCCAGTTCATTGATGTGATTCTTGAGATATGGGCATCATACAACTGCTGCATATTCCAATTTTGGTATCACAAAAATCATGAACAGTTTCTTTAGTATTTCATCCTCCATGTAGTTAAAAGCGAGTTTGAAATTGGAAAGCAACGCATATGCTCCTCTTACAATGTTCTTTATGTGTTCCTCTGGTGACAGTTTACTATCCAAAACCATCCCTAGATCTCGTTCTTCATTAGAGCCTTTGATTACTGACCTTATCTGTCTGTCAGTTAGAAAATTTGTCATTCATGTCAGAAGTCTTCCTGTCACCCCTTCATCAAGTTCTAGTTTCCCTCCCCCCAAAAAAACACTTGTGTGGAACTTTGTCAAAAGCCTTTTTTGTGTCCAGATAGACACAATGGTGTTTTCTGGAATTGACATTATGTCTGTCTCTCTGAAATCTTAATTTTTCACAAACACACTTTGGAACTGTTCATTTAGTGTTTCACATACTGTACTTCTTTTTCATTCTCAATGAACCTGTTCCCCCATTCTCACTCTCTGGATTTTATCTTTTACATGCCGCTTGCTTTTAATGAATTTATAGAAAAGACCTGGATCTGTTTTACATTTATCTGCTACCTCTTTCTCAAAGTTCCTTTCTGCCTGTCTCCTCACTGCTGTGTATTTGTTTCTTGCTTGTTTGTAGTGCTGGGGCCAGATTCATGAAGCAGTTACACAAGCACTTATGAACCTGTACATCTTTTCTCAATCTTTGGCGGCTTTGTTTACAATTATTAAACAGTTAATGAGCTCCGAAGCACCAGGAGGCTGTTTATAACAATAACAACAGTTGAATAGAAAGTTTTCATGTTTGCAAACTGTTTAATAAATGTAACCAAAGCCGTCAAAGATTGAGGAAAGATGTACACCGTCGTAAGTGCTTGCTTAAGTGCTTTCGTGAATCTGGCCCCTGGTATGTTTGAGGGTTAGGCCTCTTCCTGTAGTGTACACATTTCAATGTTTTTTCCTCTCTGCCTTTCAATTTCTACTGAACCAATCCTATTTTCTGGTTCGTCATTTATAACAACCAGGTTTTGTCTTTGGACCTATTCTGTTCTTGTAATAATTATATAAAACTAGTATTAGCAGCCGTCCACTCTAGATAAAATTCTCTCAAATGATGTCTTTGAAAAATGCAAAACTAAGGAAAATTTTGTTATTCTGAAGTGAATTAAAAAAAGTTGTATAAATTGGCTGATAATTTTCTACTGTAGCTCACAACAAACAAACATAAGGTTAAGAAAATGGTAATTGTCACAATAAAGCTGATGGTGTAGAAGCAATTTAGAGGGACAGACATCTAGAGTCACCCTGAAGCACACACAGACTTGATATCTTCAGCAGCATATGCAAGGGTGGCATGCTAGAACAAGAAATCCTGTAATATTTAAATCATGTTTGAAGAATCAGCATTGGAGTCAATAATCATGGAATTCTCACTCTATTTATGTAACAAGTTTGAAAAAAGTATATAGGTTTATCAGCAGACTAGTTACTGAATATAAATAGTGACTTTGAAGGTACTGTACACCAAGAAAGCTCAATGTTACGTCGTTGAATGGGGACATACAGACTACTGTGGGCATCAGTGTGGTGGGACCAGAATAATGTGGCAAACTTCAACACTCAAACCTGAAGAATATAAGAAATATCTTCAATGTATTCCTAGTAAGTTGATTATACTGGCAGAGGAAGTAATAGAGGTCAACTTGATACTCAGATATCAGTTGTATACGGGGTATATGTTACAGTATGACAATACCTATGGAGTTAGCTGTCACTAGTCTATAAGTTGTGGGGTCCAAGAGCTAAATCATGTTCCTTTCAAACACTGATAAGTTCATACCAGCTTGAATATGGGTCCTGTAGTATAGTGGTTTACGTTTTAAACTCTCACTCGGAGTTCCTGGGTTTGATCCCCCAGGAAAGACAAAAAATGGTCGAGAACATTTCCCCAGGATGCAACCCAGAATAGTTGGCTAACTCCCAGGTATTTATTTACTGCTAGGTGAACAGAGGCATAAGGTGGAAAGAAACATGTCCAACCATTTCTGTCCTGGCCAATGATTGACTTCAGGATGATCAATTGTGAGCCTAGGATGTAGAGCACTGTGCTACGGGACCCAGAAAGGAAATTAGTAAATGCAATAACAATGACCTCTACATTAAAATGTAAAGGTACAGTGATCTCAAAACCATAGGACATATAAAGCCTCTAACACTGTACTTTTAGGGTTATATGGTGAAGCCTTCTACCTTCTTATATGTGCTACATAGCCTTCCCGGTTTGGTGCTTTCTATTGATAATTACCTACCTAATTACCTTCTTATACCCTTTAACCAATGAAACATGTAAACTATTATAGGAATGTATATTCTAGCTAGCTAAAAGGAGAGAGGGTGAAATATAAGGAGGAGCTGTAAAGTGTATGACCCATTTTGGATGAAGACAAATATTGTGGAAATGGTGACAAAATAGGCCACCATACGTCACCAGCGAGAAGAGGCAGAATTCAGAACTATTGTGCACGATACAGTCTGACTCAAAATAGGGTGCACAAAACATGTATGACCCAAGTGAGAGGTTATTCGTGTGAACATTGCTAAGCGGGAAATGTCAGAGAGCATTTGTGAGGGAGAGGGTGAGCTGAACATTATTTTCAGTTACGGGTCAAGCAGAGGAAACAGTAAGGTCACTCTTGACAGTAATAGTGGTGAGGTGCAGGTGTGGCACTGTTTGTAGTTGTTGGGATGGTGTGGCTGTGAGTGTATGGTGTAGTACAGTGTGGCTGTGTGTGGTGTAGTACAGTGTGGCTGTGTAGTGTAGTACAGTGTGGCTGTGTGTGGTGTAGTACAGTGTGGCTGTGTGTGGTGTAGTACAGTGTGGCTGTGTGTAGTGTAGTACAGTGTGGCTGTGTGTGGTGTAGTACAGTGTGGCTGTGTGTGGTGTAGTACAGTGTGGCTGTGTGGTGTAGTATGGTGTGAAGGTGGTGATACATACTAATGACTGGATGACAGACTTCATTCCAGGGCTGACCACGAACCTATGAACAAACCCACGTATATGAGTGGACACCTATCCACCGACTGACGTGGGTGCATGAGAATTGATTCAGAAACTGGCATGAGGAGGGAAGAGTTTCTTTTTGATGACGGAAAGTGACTATCTTTCCAGAGTTAGGTATTTATGGATTTGAGAGAGAGAGAGAGAGAGATTGAGAGAGAGATTGAGAGAGAGATTGAGAGAGAGATTGAGAGATAGATTGAGAGTGAGATTGATTGATTGTGATAGAGTAGACGAGTAAATATAGGTAAAGGGTAGCACCCAGTCTTAGACCTACAAGGGAATCATAAGATTAAAATTCGAAGAAAGTGAGGTACGTGGGAGTGTGGCTGTGAAGAACACTGACAAAGATAGCGTGGTGGAGGCAGGGAGCGACGGGGGAGCAGTGTTGACGCTGGTGGGAGGGGACGAGGCGGCCGTGTGTGCATAGAGCGACGGTTCTCGTCTAGAATGCTAGCGGCGACTCATTGTTTAAAGTCGGATCCTGCCTGCTGGGGGGCGAGGCGAGGCTCGCCTGCCCACCGGCTCAGGAGGTAAGAGAGGGCCCTTAGGGGACTAGCGTGGCTGGCGTGGGAATTAGTAGTGGTGGTGGCGGTGGTGAAGTTGAGAGAGAGGAAGCACTGGCCGTGAAAGAAAATGTAAAAGCAAGAATGGGGGGACGGAAATAAATGGGGAGTGAGAGCATGCAAGGGTCGGTGGGTGTAGGGAAAAGGTGATTTGTTGACATGTGGGATACATAGATGATGTTTCTTGACATGGAGGAGAGGAAGAGGGACATGAGGTGAAGATGTGTGTGTGAGGTATTGTTGTCACACACATGTGAGGACGTATAGGAGGAACAACATGCTACCTCTCATGAGTTATTGAACCCATGTGTGAGGCCTGGTCGTCCTCGGCTGAGGCCTGGTCGTCCTCGGCTGAGGCCTGGTCGTCCTTCCACCCCTTCTGGTGCTGGTGAGCAGAAGGGGGGGGGGCCTCACTGCTCACGAGAGCAGTGAGGGGTCCCACCAGGCACACCCGCATCCAGAAAATACAGTAATTCGTGAATTACAGCGGACCTTACCTCTGGACATGACAAGGGCCCCGAGGCAGAAGACGAGGAACGGAATGACATGCATCCCAGCCATTTTCCATGTGCGTGGTGCTGGGTTCAAGTGGTGCAGGGTGCTGGGTGCACGTGGTGCTGGGTGCACGTACATTAATACAATACAACATAATACAATTTTATTTAGGTAAGGTACATACATACAATAAATATTTACAAGGATTGTTTAACTTATAGGTATAGCTAGTACATACAATGCCTAAAGCCACTATTACGCAAAGCGTTTCGGGCATGATAAACTTAAATGACAAGCTTAATACTAATTGAGCATAATGAGTAGAATGAAAACAAGAAATGAAAACATAGATGAAAAGCAGCACAAATACAATTATGTCGACAAACAGCGCTCTTTAAAGAAAAAAACAGACATTGGTTGACAATAGAAGGGTAAGGTAGGTTACAGGGAATTTATTAGGTATAGCTTCGCTTTTAACTTAAACTGGTTGAGAGAGGTACAGTCTTTAACATGGTTGGGAAGGTCATTCCACATTCTGGGCCCCTTGATTTGTAGAGCATTTCTAGTTTGATTAAGTCGTACTCTAGGAATATCAAAACTGTATTTATTTCTGGTGTGATGCTCATGGGTTCTGATACAACCTTCTATGAAGCTTTTGAGATCAGGATTGGCATTATAGTTTAGCGTTATATATATGTATAATACACATGAGAGAATGTGCAGTGACTTAATGTCTAACATATTCAGAGATTTAAGTAGGGGTACCGAGTGATGTCTGGGGCCAGAATTGGATATTGTCCTAATAGCAGCTTTGTGTTGAGTAATTAGAGGACGTAAGTGATTTTGGGTAGTAGAGCCCCAAGCACAAATACCATAGTTGAGATATGGATAGATAAGGGAGTAATAGAGAGTCACCAGGGCAGGGCGTGGTACATAATATCTGATTCAGATTCAGATTCAGATGTTTATTCAGGTAAGGTATATACATACAAGTGATGTTACATTAATGGATTGATATATAGATAGAGCTAGTACATACAATGCCTAAAGCCACTATTACGCAATGCGTTTCGGGCAAGAAAAACATTAATATCTAGAACTTAATACTAATTGAGCATAAACAATAAAAGATGTTGAGAACAAATACAAATAAAGATAAAAAAAAGGGGGAACATGACTGAAAAAGCAGCACAAATACAATAGGTTGACAAACAGTGTTGATTAAAAAAAAAGAAAAAAAAAGAAAATAACAGACATGGGTTGACAATAGAGGAGTGAGGTAGATTACAGGGAATTTATTAGGTAGTGTTTAGTTTTTATCTTAAACTGGTTGAGAGAGGTACAGTCTTTAACATGGTTGGGTAGGTCATTCCACATTCTGGGCCCCTTGATTTGCAGAGCATTTCTAGTTTGATTAAGACGTACTCTAGGAATATCAAAACTGTATTTATTTCTGGTGTGGTGCTCATGGGTTCTGTTACAACCTTCTATGAAGCTTTTAAGATCAGGATTGGCATTATAGTTTAGCGTTTTATATATGTATAATACACATGAGAGAATGTGCAGTGACTTAATATCTAACATATTAAGAGATTTGAGTAGGGGTACCGAGTGATGTCTGGGGCCAGAGTTGGATATTGTTCTAATAGCGGCTTTGTGTTGGGTAATTAGAGGACGTAAGTGATTTTGGGTAGTAGAACCCCAAGCACAAATACCATAGTTGAGATAAGGATAGATAAGGGAGTAATAGAGAGTCACCAGAGCAGGGCGTGGTACATAATATCTGATCTTAGAAAGAATGCCCACAGTTTTTGAAACTTTTTTTGATATATTTAGAATGTGTCCCTGGAAATTCAGCTTGTGGTCAATGAGAATGCCAAGGAATTTGCCATCTAATTTGTTACAAATTTGGGTATTGTTTATTTTGAGATTTATAAGACTAGAGGATTTATTGCCAAACAGAATATAGAAGGTTTTGTCAATGTTAAGGGTGAGTTTGTTGGCAGTTAGCCACAGATGGACTTTATTTAGCTCAGTATTTACTGTGGCATTTAGAGCAAGAGGGTCAGGACTGGAGTAAATGAAGGTTGTGTCGTCAGCAAATAGAATTGGTTTGAGGTGTTGGGAGGCATTTGGAAGGTCATTAATGTAGATGAGAAAGAGGAGAGGGCCAAGTATGCTGCCCTGAGGAACACCAATGTTGATGGGTAGGGTGGGAGAAATTGTATTATTCACAGAAACATATTGGAGCCTGTCAGTAAGGTAGGACTCGAGGTATTGTAGGGAGTGTCCTCTGACTCCATAATGATGTAATTTAAGAAGAAGGTTTTGGTGGTTGACAGTATCAAAAGCTTTACGCAGGTCCACAAATAACCCAACAGGGAGCTCCTTTTTATCAAGAGCTGTATGAATCGAGTTTAGCATACTAATAAGGGCATCGTTAGTGCTTTTTTTGGGTCTGAAGCCGTATTGGCAAGGGCTAAGTATATTGAGTTTGGCTAGATATGAGTAAAGCTGCTTGTATATAAGTTTTTCAAAAATTTTTGACAAGTTTGGCAGGATTGATATAGGTCTGTAGTTGTTAACATCTGTGGGGTCACCACATTTGTGGACAGGCGTTACTCTCGCTTTTTTTAGAATATCTGGAAAGGTTTGGAGTTCAAGTGACTTGTTGAAGAGCAAAGCAATAGCAGGGGCTAAAGATCTGGAGGCTTTTTTGTAAATTAAAGTTGGTATCTCCTCAAGGGCACCAGACTTGGTTTTAAGGGAAAGGATTATCTCATTGACCACATTGTCATTGACAATGACTGGGATTACGAGGTCTTTGATCACTGCTATTAGGATAGTCTTCCCTCGGGCAGATGGCAGCATGTCATTCCTGCCCTCGTCTTGTGCCTCGGGGCCGTGGTAGTGACTGTTCAAGGGGTCTTACACACCAGTAGTAAGGGACTGAGGGCATGTGTGCGCGCGGCGTGCAGTATCGCCCTGACTGTGCGGGGGAGTGACGTGTGTAGCCCCACCTCTACTGCCTGTGTTGACTGCTGTCCAGGGAGTGACACGCTGCCTCATGTGCAACCATGTCTTCTCACTCCACACCCTGGAGTGCCACCATGTGATGACACCCACACCCTGGAGTGCCACCATGTGATGACACCCACACCCTGGAGTGCCATCATGTGATGACACCCACACCCTGGAGTGCCACCATGTGATGACACCCACACCCTGGAGTGCCACCATGTGATGACACCCACACCCTGGGGTGCCACCATGTGATGACACCCACACCCTGGAGTGCCACCATGTGATGACACCCACACCCTGGAGTGCCATCATGTGATGACACCCACACCCTGGAGTGCCACCATGTGATGACACCCACACCCTGGAGTGCCACCATGTGATGACACCCACACCCTGGGGTGCCACCATGTGATGACACCCACACCCTGGGGTGCCACCATGTGATGACACCCACACCCTGGAGTGCCATCATGTGATGACACCCACACCCTGGAGTGCCACCATGTGATGACACCCACACCCTGGAGTGCCACCATGTGATGACACCCACACCCTGGAGTGCCATCATGTGATGACACCCACACCCTGGAGTGCCACGATGTGATGACACCCACTGGAGTGCCATCATGTGATGACACCCACACCCTGGAGTGCCACCATGTGATGACACCCACACCCTGGAGTGCCACCATGTGATGACACCCACACCCTGGGGTGCCACCATGTGATGACACCCACACCCTGGGGTGCCACCATGTGATGACACCCACACCCTGGAGTGCCATCATGTGATGACACCCACACCCTGGAGTGCCATCATGTGATGACACCCACACCCTGGAGTGCCATCATGTGATGACACCCACACCCTGGAGTGCCACCATGTGATGACACCCACACCCTGGAGTGCCACCATGTGATGACACCCACACCCTGGAGTGCCACCATGTGATGACACCCACACCCTGGGGTGCCACCATGTGATGACACCCACACCCTGGGGTGCCACCATGTGATGACACCCACACCCTGGAGTGCCATCATGTGATGACACCCACACCCTGGAGTGCCATCATGTGATGACACCCACACCCTGGAATGCCACCATGTGATGACACCCACACCCTGGAGTGCCACCATGTGATGACACCCACACCCTGGAGTGCCACCATGTGATGACACCCACACCCTGGAGTGCCACCATGTGATGACACCCACACCCTGGAGTGCCATCATGTGATGACACCCACACCCTGGAGTGCCACCATGTGATGACACCCACACCCTGGAGTGCCACCATGTGATGACACCCACACCCTGGAGTGCCACCATGTGATGACACCCACACCCTGGAGTGCCACCATGTGATGACACCCACACTACACTAGTGAAGGCCGAGTCACTGCGGCGGGCTCGAGTAACGACACTTTTACAGTGGTAACGGTCGTTAGGTCCGACTAATGAGGTGGAGCTTATGGGTGTTGGGTAATGACTGCTGCTGAGTGTTAGTGGTGGTGGAGGAGGGTGGTTAGTGGTGGAGAGTGGTTAACACCCTCCACCACTAGTGGAGGTGTGTTAGTGGTGGAGGGTGGTTAACACCTCTGTGTTAGTGGTGGAGGGTGGTTAACACCTGTGTTAGTGGTGGAGGGTGGTTAACACCTGTGTTAGTGGTGGAGGGTGGTTAACACCTGTGTTAGTGGTGGAGGGTGGTTAACACCTGTGTTAGTGGTGGAGGGTGGTTAACACCTCTGTGTTAGTGGTGGAGGGTGGTTGTGGAGGGGTGGGTACTCACCTATTTGTGCTTACGGGGGGTTGAGCTTTGGCTCTTTGGTCCCGCCTTGTGGCTGGCCCCATAGTGTGGAGGGTGTGGCGTGTATTAGCTAACCACTCATCGATGCATCACATGATACAGCCACCATATCCTTATCACATCTATATAAGCCACACATCCATCAACCATCCATGTACTCGCCTATCAACCAACCATCCAAGCATCTCTATCCACCCTCCCCCCCCCCCCACGACCTCCGAGCCAGGAGCGGAGTGTGAGAGATGTGTCAATATCGGACACCGTCCCCGGCGGTGCCCGGGGCGTCCTCCCATTTCCGTTACCTGATTACCGGCGACAACGATATATAGATTATCAGCCTCGTCACCCAGGTAACTTAGGTAGACGAGTAGATGGATTAATTAAGCTGTCTCGGGGTAGATAAATTAGTAGGTAGTAAGGCAAGTGTATTGATTAGTAGGCACATTGTTCATTAGTTAATTAGAACATGAGATTGTTCAGGCAGGTAATTAGCTTGGTTATAGGTGGTCAGGCGGCTCGGTCATGCTCGTCACCTCCTGGGTTATCTTGAGGTTATCTTGAGATGATTTCGGGGCTTTTTAGTGTCCCCGCGGCCCGGTCCTCGACCAGGCCTCCACCCCCAGGAAGCAGCCCGTGACAGCTGACTAACACCCAGGTACCTATTTTACTTTGTGGGGTTGTAATGGTGGTTACTATGGGTTGTGGGGGTGGTGGTTGTGGGCTTAGGGTTGTAATGGTGGTGGTTGTGGTGATTGTGATCTTGGGGTTATAGTGGATTATGGAGTTGTAATGGTGTGATATAACTGAATAACTGTCAAAAGCAAATAGAGGGAACACTGGGACTGACCCGGATTAGCCTATGACCCTCCCATACCTCCCATGTATCATCCTGAAAAGTTGGGTGAGGCTGGCCGTCATGGTTTGGCCTCCAACCTTAGACAGAAACACAGACATTCGCGTATAGATGTACATTTACAAACGACTGAGGAGCTACGTGAAACGGACAATTTGGTTACTTTTTCTTTCCGTGAGATGATTGGAGGGCGTGTCTGATGGGGTGGGGGTGGGGGGGGGGTGAGGTAGTAAGGAGTCACGCCCCTCCTTACTTAATAGTTCCTGCTTCATCTGTTTCTTCTTTTTCACACAAGGTACAGCACCGCTCCTGTGCCAGGTAAGTCCACTACGGGCTCACCATAGCCCGTGCTACTTGCCCCGCTCCTGTGCCAGGTAAGTCCACTACGGGCTCACCATAGCCCGTGCTACTTGGAACGTTTTGTTCTCAGTAGCTGAATCTTAAACAACAACAACTGTTTCTTCCCTCGCAGGATTTCCCCTGGTTAATCCCTTCCATAAATCCGCTATCCATCTACCTGGTAATTTTCTTAATTTAATGGTTTGCGTTACATGACGCAGATGGGTCGTAAGGGGCTTGGTCAAGCCCAAGATTACAGTAGAATGTGTTGTAAGGCCACGAGATATGAAGCCCAACTTTCTCTATAGCACATTTCCTACTTGTATACACGGCTTGCTTTGAGATGCCCAGTCATCACCACAATTGGATCTGGCGATTGGCACTGTATTGTTGTGATGCTGAAGGACTCTACAGTTTCATCACCACGGCAGAAGACTCGATGATTATCGCTAATGAAATATATCTGCCAACCTCCCCCCCCCACTCTTCCCAAGCTGTATCCTCTCCCTCTCCCTCCTCCCCAGATCCCCGTACCCAGTTAACCCCGACACTGATGCCCACTATCGCACCATAATTCCTGTCAGCGCAGCCCCCGTCTTTTCCTGTTCCCCCTTCCCCGCGCACGCGCACACAATCGCTCACGCACGCACATAATCACCCGATATCTACTCGTGTAGTTTACAAATAGGTAACATAATTCGTGTGTGTGGAAGTAGAATGACAAAGACAGCATGAGATAGCAGCGCCCGAGGCGAAGTGGTAACAAACTCACCCGGCGCTTCGCGAGGCCTGGGTTTGGATCCTGGCCGGGGAGGATTGACTGGGCGCTAATAATTATATGTAGCCTCAGTTCAGCCAAGAGTGATTGGGTTCCTGATTGTTAAACGATTTAGCGAGTCGAAATCCAGGGAAAATTAGGATTAGGGACCTGGCCGAAACGCTATGCGTGCTAATGGCTGTACAAGAATGTAAGAATTCGTATACTTCGCACACCAAAAAAGAGGAGGAGCGAAGCGGTATAAAGCGACTACCTGTCGAAATCAGGACTTGCTAATGGTCCAGGACGGAGCGAAACATTGTCACCGCCATTGTTATGTATGGGTTAGAGTAGCGGTGTCAGCCAGGCTGTTGGGACTGAGGGTGACTATATGAGGCGGTGAAGACTCCTTCTGAAGGCTGCTGGTGCCGCAGGTGGAGTCGCTGGAGGCGTAGATGTGCACCTTCCTCACTCCAACTGTGCACGACCTCTCGGCAGGTGAGAGAAAGTTGGGCACCGATGCTTCACTGTTGGTCCCTCCTCACCCGGCAGCCACAGGGGATATTGTCACCTTGAGACCGTGTTCCAGGGAAGACATGTCCAGTATAAGGATCCTCTACAAGAGCGGCGTGAGGGCCACCTCTTCCGCTCCCCACAAGATGCAGGAAACGTTTGTTGCTGTAGCCTCTTAAGGTACAAAAGTGGCACTCCTGGTGGCCTCCTCAGAGGCAACACAGGTGCTGCCAAAGGTGTAGCTTGGCTGGTTGGATATGTAGATTAGTGGACAATAAGAGAGGTGGTTTGACGCAAGTGGTGGTGAGCGTGGGCAGGAACGCGCATGCCTGGTAAGAGGCACTGAGAGAGAGGCAGGGGAGGAGGAGGAGCCTCGTGAAAGTAGCAGTAGCAGCGCGCGAGACCTCCAGTCGCACACCGCGTGAGCAACGGAACACACCGCCAGCCACTCCACTCCCGCTGTCTCCTGGCAAGTGTTCACCAGGAGTCTCACCCCTGGGGGTGTGCTACCCCTCCCCCCTGCCCTGACCCCGAGGGCTGGTGACTGACCCTTCACCATGTTAGTCGACCTCGTGCGTGACCCCAGGAAGGACAACACTCTGGTCACTACAGGTATGGTGATGCTCTCTTACTCCGGCCTGGTGACCACAGGTGTTGGCCGGCCTGGTGACCACAGGTGTTGGCCAGCCTGGTGACCACAGGTGTTGGCCAGCCTGGTGACCACAGGTGTTGGCCGGCCTGGTGACCACA